AATAAGATCTTAGTTTTATAGATTCCAAAATAGTTTTTCAAGATTCTAAGATAGGCAAAATTTTCCTAGTTACAATGTTTAGAACGCTGCAATATATACTGTAGTTGAGACGACTTTTGAAAAAGTTCTTAAGAAACTATAGACGAGTATTAAATATTAGAAATATTTAATTAAGATGTAGAGGACGATTAAGATATTTAGTATAAATTAAAAAAAAAACTTTTAAAATTTTTTTTTAAAAAGCTTTATAAGTATTCGACATAAAAATTTCAATATTTTGCTCAATATAAAACCGTTAGATAGATAGATATAATATGTTCGGATTAAACAATAATAAACATGAGTGAAGATGTTTAATTCTAATCTGTATAAATCAAGTGAATCAAGTGTGTAGTTGCCTTGTAAAAATTCTTGTGAAGTTCTGTTAATATTACTTGCGTATTAAATTTTTTAATTAATCTGATTGGTTATGCAGATCCTCGTGATTTTTGTTTTTACAATTTTATTGGTTAATCTATTTTTAGGTATCACGAACATCACATGTAAATTCAGGTGACATATTTGTAAAAATCCGCCCATATGATGAGAAATGAAATATATTTTTTTCGATAGGATCTGGGGGGAATTAGTAAACTCACCAATCATATTTTCGGCCATAAATAACAAAATTCGTAAGGGGGGCACAAAAACTTAAGATTCGTTATTAATCAATTAATTCTTCTGGCTTTAAAATTTCGAAATAGTATGCTGATTTTGATAAATTTAGAATACTAGATCTGCTATTATGGTTTGAATATTCAATATCTGACATATTTCTAACTATTTCGTCAGCATGATGAAACTCGTTTTTTCTGTCATCAATTTCTTTAGATTCCATGATTTTACACAAATGATCAATTTCCAACTGAATGTCTTTAGGGTCTTTTTTGAGGATTTGAATCCATGCAATGTTTAGCTAATTCGACATAGCAGTTTGGTGTTCCATCAGCAAATTTTGGTCGCAGCCCCTTAAAAATCTTTAATGCGAGTTCAGAATCAGAAGATGATTGATATTCGTCGAAAGCTCTTTTGCCATATGACATTTCTGCCATAATAACACCAAAACTATATACATCTGATTTGGGAGTATATGACTGTCCACCCAACACTGCTGGATCTGTGTAAGGTATCATACCATAAATTTTATTTTTTGACGTTAGTTCGTTAGCAAACGTTGCCAATCCTAAATCTCCTATTTTAGTGAGTTCTTGATCTCCATTTTCGCAAATTAATATATTTTTTGAATGTAAATCACGGTGGATTAATCCACGTTCATGAATCTGTGCCAACCTGCATAATAATTGGATTATATTAACTGATGTTACCTTTTAAATTAGTAACTTATTACATACCCTATTATAATTGATTGTAATCTTGTCAGTTTCTTTTGCCACGAAATATCTTTATAGCTCTTTGACAAGCTATCAAACAAATTTCACCTTCAGCATACTCCATTACTATATAAATTTTATTCGTTTCACGATTACTCGTAAGGCCATAATAATTTATAATGTGATCGTCTGAACGTGTGATTTCAAATGGTATTAGCTTTTATTTTATTAAAAAATTCAATATACAGGAACGTGAAATAAATAAATAGGTTTTATAAATAAAAAATAAAATAAATAAATAAACAGAAAAAAAAACAATAAATAATTGGAAAATAAGTGTATTTACCTCGTTTGCGATATCTATAGAGAAATCTTTTGAAGATTTTAAATATTTGAGTGCAACTTTTATTTGCTTTCCTAAATCATTTATGCTAGTGGCTTGAAAAATTTCGCCAAAACCACCCTCATCCAAAAGTCTAATATCTTGAAATGCATCATAATCTATGTGTGTCATATCGCCTCTAGATTCATTATGGCCGCTCATGATTCTTTTAACTATGGCAAAATTCAATGCTGCTTTCAGCAAGATCGGGCTTTATATCCAGTGATCTTTTAAGGTCTAAATATGCCTCATTGTATTTACCCCTTAATTTATATATAATTCCCCGAACACATAATGCCTCAAAACAATTTGGATTTATTCTTAATAACACGTCAGCATCTAAAAGTGCCTTATCCAGATCATGTAAAGATCTATAGCAATACATACGTTTCTTTAAAACGGATACATCGTTTGGTTTCATTTCTAGTAATTTGTTTGCATCTAAAAGCACTTCAACATGTTTGCCAAGAATTGTATAAACTTTTGAACGGCCAAATAGCGCTTCAAAATTATTTTCAAAATGATTTGAAGTCAATACCAATAGATCATTATAATCCGAAAGTGCCTCATCAAATCCTCCAATCCTTTGATACATTTCTGCGCGATTAAATAATGTAGGTGCATAGCATACATGATTTTTTTGTCTTAATTCTAGAGAGCTGCTAAAATCTGAAATTGCCTTGTCATATTCATCGAACATCATGTAAATTTCTCCACGATCACATAGCGCACCAGCATTGTTTGGTTCTAATTTTAGTGATTTATTAAAATCAACAAACGCTTTATCGTATTCATTTGACTTTTTATAAGCTTCTCCACGGCGTGTTAATGCAGTTACGTTATTTGGTTCTACATTTAGCACTCTATTGAAGTCTTTTATTGCATAATCACATTTGCCCAATAATACATAAATTGCACCACGATCACATAACACTTCTAAGTTGTCCGAATTAATCGCCAAAGACTTATCAAAATCTAAAAGTGCTTCAGAAAACTTCCACAATCTATAATAAATTTTTCCGCGCTTGATTAATGCTTCTAAATTATCTGGCCTAATTTCCAAGAATTTGTTGAAATCTGAGAGTGCTTCATTATATTTATGCAAAATAAAATAAGCATTTCCACGATTCATAAACGTAAAAATATTATAAAAGATATTTTTTGCTTTAAGAGACTTATCAAGATCAAAAAGTGCTTCTGCGTATTTATACAAATTTAAGTAAGTTATCCCGCGATAAACCAATGCTTCAGTGTCATCTGGCTTAATTTTCAGTGACTTATTAAGATCCAAAAGTGCTTCTTCGTATTTTCCTAAGTTTATGTAAACTGCTCCACGATCCATTAATGTATAAGAGTCGTCGGGTCTTATTTCTATTGATTTATTAAAATCTAACAATGCAGCATTATTCTTACCTAGCCTAAGGTATGATTTACCACGTAATAATAATGCATAAGCATTAATAGGATTTATTTTCAGCAATCCATTTAGCTCAAGAATTGATTCGTTACATTTGCCCATATTCATGTAGGTTTCGGCACGTTTGAGTAATATTTCAGTATTACCTGGCTTTATTTTCAATAATTTATCAAAATCTGAAATTGCATCGGCACATTTGCCCACCATCATATAGGTTGTCCCGCGACTAGTTAGTGCATAGGTATCATCAGGCTTGATTTCTAGTAATTTACTAAAATCTAAAATTGCATCAACATATTTGCCTATGTTCATATATATTGTCCCACGACTAGTTAACACATCAGTGTCGTCTGGGTTTATTTCTAGTAATCGATTAAAATCCAGAAATGCATCCGTATATCTTTCCAATTGTCTATAAATTTCTCCGCGATTCCTTAACGCCAGATTATTAGTCGGCTCTATTTCCAGCGCTTTATTAAAATCTGAAAGCGCTTCTTCGTATTTATCTAGCATACCATAAGCGATTCCACGATCTATTAATGCAACAATATTGCCTTCGCATTTATTAGATACTACGAAAGTACTTTCACGATTATGTCCGATTTCCATTGATCTATCGATGTCTGAACATCCTTCATCATATTTACCCATTTTTGTATAAATTACACCACGATTAAATAGTGCAATAGCATTGTCAGGCTCAATTTCAAGTAATCTGTTGATATCTAGTAATGCTTTATTGTATTCACCTAACAATTCATATAACGATCCACGATTATTCAACCATTTAACATTGTTGGGTTCAATTTCTAAAGATTTGTTAAAATCTGAAATGGCATCATCATATCTTTCCAAAGTCAAATATGCTACTCCACGGTGACCTAGCGTCCAGGAATCATTGATTTCGATTTCCGATGATATGCTAAAATCAGAAATTGCGTTATCATATTTGTTTAAGTAAAAATGAGTCATCCCACGAACTTTAAGTGCAAAGGCGTCGTATGGACTAATATCTAATGCTCTGTTTAAATCCAAAAGTGCTTCGTTGTATTTTTCTAAGTAATAATAAGCATTCCCACGATATTTAAATACCGAAACATTAAATTTATCCAAATCTGAATATGTTATTCTGTTATTGCAAAGAGCAGCAGAGTAAATTTCATGAGATTCATTTAAGTCAGAAAGTGCCTCATTGTATTTTCCCAGCGATGTGTAAGTTATTCCACGATTCATTAATGTCCAAGCATTATCCGGTTCGATTTCCAATGACTTATTGAAATCAGTAAGTGCTTTATGATCCTCATTCAACCGATGGTAAGTTATCGCCCGGGCACATAGAGCAGTAGGATTTTCAGGTTTTATTTCTAGAGAACTATTGATATCTGAAAGTGCTTCGTAAGATTTACCCAATAACATATAAGTTTCTCCTCGAATTTCTAATATCCAAGCATCATTCGATTCAATTTCTAACGATTTATTGAAATACGAAAGTGCTTTATGATAATTGCCCAAGTTTTTATAATATTCTCCGAGATTATTTAATGTGTTAATATATTCTTTCCCGCAATCTTGTCTATTAGTATCTGGAAGTGATCTACCTAATTCAATACAAATTTCCCCATATAATTTTAGTGCTGAGACATTATTTGGCTTAAGTTTTAATAGTTTATTAAGATCTGAAGCTGCTTCATTGTATTTGTTCAATATTTTATAGATCATTCCCCGACTTCTTAATGCAAAAGCGCTATTCGGTTTGATTTCTAGAGATCTATTAAGATCCGAAAGTGCATCATCATACTTGTTCAACATTATATATGTCACACCTCGGTAATGAAAAGGAATTATCTGGTTTAGTTTTCAGTGATCTATTAAAATTTGATAGTGCTTCTTTATAACTTTTTAATATCCTATGTGTTTTTCCACGACTTCTTAACGCCCAAGCGTTATTCAGTTCTAATTCCAATGACCTATTAAGGTTTGAAAGTGCTTCATCATATTTACCTAATGCTCTTAATGTTGACCCACGTCCCCGTAAAATAAACGCATTATTAGGCTCAAGCTTTGTTGCCTCATTAAGATCTATAAGTGCTTCATCAAATTTACGCAGACAATAGTATGTAACTCCACATTCTGCTAAAGCTGTTGCACTATCTGATTTTATTTCCCAATAGGGTTCCAATCTTTTGCCCAACATTTATTTGCCCGACAATGACTTTCCCGACAACCATTTTCCCGACAATAATTATCCCGACACTTTCATTTGCCTGACAATTATTTTCCCGACAAATTCATCTTCCCGACAAATTTATCTTCCCGACAGTTACTTTCCCGACAATCATCTGCCCGACACTTTTGTCTGCGTGACACTTTCATTTGCCTGACACTTTTATCTGCCTGACAAATTTATCTTCCCGACAATACAATCATCTGCCCAACACTTTCATTTGCCCGACACTTTTATTTGTCCAACAATTTCATCGCCCAACAAATTTATCTTCCTGACACTTTCATTTGCCCTACTTTTTTGCTGGCCCGACAATTTCATTTGCCCAACAAATTTATCTTCCCGACACCTTCATTTGCCTGACACTTTTGTTTGCCCAACGAATTTATCTTCCTGACACTTTTGTTTGCCCAACACTTTCGCTTGCCCGATAATTTCATTTGCCCGACACTTTCGCTTGCCCGACACTTTCATCTGCCTGATAAACTTATCTTCTGACACTTTTGTTTGCCCAACACTTTTATCTGCCCGATATTTTCATTTGCCTGACACTTTCGCTTGCCCGACACTTTCGTCTGCCCAACAAATTTATCTTCCCGACACTTTCGCTTGCCCGACACTTTCGCTTGCCCAACACTTTTGCTTGCCCGACACTTTTGTCTGCCCGATATTTTCATTTGCCTGTTGCCCAACACTTTCGTCTGCCCAACAAATTTATCTTCCCGACACTTTCGCTTGCCCAACACTTTTGCTTGCCCGACACTTTTGTCTGCCCGATATTTATTTACCCAACATTTTATCTTCCTGATGCTTTATCTGAATAAAATGAAACTAATTAGTAAATATTCATGATTATTTAATTGATTATTAGATTAATTAATTATGCTTTTATACTTATCTTATAAATTAAATATGTAAATTCTTGGATCGCCTATAGTATTTTTTTTATTTTATACTTCTATATAAATAGAATAAAACTAATTAGCATGTGTCTATAACTATTTTAATTGATTATTAAATTAATTATGCTTTTAAATACTTATCTTATATATTAAATATGTAAATTCTTATGTATGAACTTGGATCGCTTATAATATTTTTTTTTATACTTCTATAGGAATAGAATAAAATTAATTAGTTGATTAGCTTGTTTTAATTAATTACTTAGATTAATAATACTTTTATACTTATCTTATATATTGAATATGTAAATTCTTATGTATGAACTTGGATCTCTTATAGTATTTTTTTTTTTTATACTTACATATGAATAGAATAAAACTAATTAGTAAATATTCATTATTTGCTTGTTTTAATTAATTACTTAGATTAATAAATGCTTTTATACTTATCTTATATATTGAATATATATATTTTTGGGTATGAATTTGAGTCTGGGTCAAAATTCCGACAAATAGAATCCTGAAAAAAAAAATCTCGACAAAAATTGACCAGAACAATAGTTAATGCAGACCAGCTTATTGGGATTATGACTTTGCCGAGATTTTGTTTGTTGGGATTTGATTTTGACCCAGACTCTATGAACTTGAATCGCTTATAGTAATTTTTTTATACTTCTATAGGAATAGAATAAAACTAATTAGTAAATATTCTTGATTATTTTAATTGATTACTTAGATTAATAAACGTTTTTATACTTATCTATATATTGAATATGTAAATTCTTATATATGAACTTGGATCTCTTATAGTATTTTTTTT